CAATCCACTGAGCCAAACCGGTTTCGGCTTTCTTTTTTTTTTTTATCTTAAAGCTACAATTAAATATATTAAATGCTTGCTCATCTCAGTCCTTTTATGTTATTTCCCTAGTTAACTCTTGGTTGGATCTCTCAGATAAAGCTTATTATAGGGCTTTTGAATATAATGTTCCATGAGTTCTTAAAAGGTTAAAAGTTTTTTTTATAACTTTGATATTTGGACAACTTAGCTGGATATAAAACCTTTGGTTTATATGTTTTTTCCCCCCTTAACTTTCTTAAAAATGCTACTCCACCCTTGGTTTGCTTTGAATGTTACCTTTGAGAAGTCTGATGCTAGGAAACTTTTCTTGCATTTTAAAATAATTTGGATATTAAGTCACTTTTATCTAGTGACTTGAAATTTAAATTTTAATATTTTAGCATTTAAATTTTATTTCCTTTATATTTTAAATATTGCCAAGTTATGTCTTGGAGTTTTTACCTTTCCAGATCAATTTTTGCATCCTAAAAACAGCCCTTTCATATATGGATTCAGTTTTTTGTTTTTAAGTTTTGGAGTATAGTTTTAAATTAGTTCTAAATCACTTGTTTTTCTTTTTCAGGAACTCCTTTTATATATATGTATATGTAAAAGATTTTTTCTGTCTTCCATTTCAAGTACTTTCTTTCTAACCATTGTTATTACTCTTAATCTTTTTGTTGTTTTTTTTTGTAATTCTTCAATGTTCCTTATTAAATGTTAATTTAACAATTCTCCATTAAATACATTATAATTTAATCTTTATTTCTGAGGCAGTTTTCCCTTTTCTTGGATTTATTTCCTAAGTTCAATCAATTTTTGTTTTTGTTTCTTCCTGATTTTTATCCATTTTAGGTCTTAGTTTTGGATTTTCTGACTCAAGATTTATAGGTATAGAGCTTAAAATTATTTCATTTTTGTTTAAATATATTTCCTTTCATTTAAATAAAGTGTATTTTTAGTGTTCTGGTTTTTTAAATATTTTTATTGACTTCTTTACAGAGAGGAAGGGAGAGGGATAGAGAGTTAGAAACATTGATGAAAGAGAAACATCGATCAGCTGCCTCCTGCACACTCCCTACTGGGGATGTGCCCGCAACCAAGGTACATGCCCTTGACCAGAATCGAACCTGGGACCCTTGAGTCCGCTGGCTGATGCTCTAGCCACTGAGCCAAACCGGTTAGG